AGGTCAGGTGATGGCTGACAGGTGTCATCTGATTCAGGATAGCAGGTTGTAGAGCAGCAGTCTCTATGTGGTGGGTGGTCCTTGTGTGGTCCAGCTCTGATGGGTCGGGTTTGGACCAGCAGTTCATGAACATGTTGAGGTGTTGTTGTTGTGTTGATGTTGATGAAGCTTGGATGTGTTGTCTCAGAGGAGACAGGAGAGACATGCTCTCCTGTCTACAGCAAATGTATCAAACAATAAATTATTAATCTCCCCCCACCCTCTCCACCCCTCCCATCTGCTCTAACGTGGGGTGTCAGCTGGTATTTTTAGTAGATGTTTGCAGCTGTTTCACAGCTGCTGAAGATGTTTTGGCCTGTGCATTTACCCACCCAAAACCCACCCACCCAGGTAAATGCACAGGCCAAATTGTGTTTCAACAAGCTATAATGTAGATTAGTGTTTATGTATATTTTATCATTTCAAATGTCTTAATTGTTAAATATGCATTTTCTGAATAAATGTATTTTGATTCAAGACTGTGGTATCTGGAAAATATTATTTTCAAAAATATATTTACATGAAAAACTAATAACTTTAGTGACTGGTATTTTACAAAAAAACATTTGTTTATGGAAAACTTAACAATATCTGAAAAACTTAACATCTGAGAAACTTCATATCTGAAAAGTATATTAATCTATAAAGAGAATTATGACCTATAAAACTTTGTGTTACAGATTAGAAATGTGTACCTAAATCAAATCTTAATCCAGAAACTGAACAGCTGACCTGTGACCCCAATCAGATTTCTTTAACACATATTTCAAAAGAAAAACATTCACTGTACTTCTTACCTCTTTAAGCAGCTTTAAAGACAATAAAACTCTCCTGATCTGCACAACAAACAGTAAAGTCAGTACCAAACATGTTCCATGATCTTTAAGTCTCACCTGACCTCTTCATGACAGGCTGGAGGACAGCACACAGAAAACAGGGTTGTGGTAACTGTAATACGTTCTCATGACACCAGAATGGAGGCTTCTCTGTGGCTGAGAAATAAAAACAAGGTCAAGCAGTGTGTTCTTGTCTGTTGTGGCAGCAGTGATCAGCTGTGAAAATCCTCGAGACTGAAACAGCTCCAGGATGGGCTTCCTTC